GAGCCTTAGAAAAATTAATTCTATAATTGAATGGAGGCTTGACTGCAGCCAGAACCAATCACTAGGCTCCTGCAGTTGTCTAGACGTAAGATAATGAGGGCTTGTACTACATCGGTAGTAGTGTCAGAGGAGAGAAGGGAGATATTGCAAAGATAACATCAACAGGCCTTGGCAACAGATTCACTGTGGGAGGTGAGAGTGAGATTCTGAGCCTGAATGCTGAGAATATCGTTAAGTAGGGTTTTGGGGGAAAGATAATGTTTGATTTTAGACATATTAAGTTTAAGATATCTATAGGACATTCGGTTTGGGATGTGTAATAGTTGGAGATCAAGTCTGGAGGTTAGGAAAAATTTGACTGCTGTGGATAAGGAGATCTGAGAATTAATCGCATAACTAGTAAGTGCTTATCTGGAAATGTAAGTTCTTTCTTGATTTCAAATCCAAAGCTGTTTTCCAGACTGGAAATTAACAGAAAATATTAAGGTTGTGAAACATCTTTCATTCAAAGCTGAAGAGCTGGGAATTTGTCTTGTAGTCAGTGTGGTATCATTGGAGGAACTTTAGCAAGGGGGATGACATGGTAGAAACAGTGTTTTGGTAGTAGGATTTAGGGGTCAGTTAGGTGGTGCAGTGGATAAAGCACCGGCCCTAGAGTCAGGAGGACCTGAATTCAAATTTGGCTTCAGACACATGCTACTTACTAGATATGTGACCCTAGGCAAGTCACTTAACCCCAGTTGCCTCACAAAAAAAGAAATTATGGGATTTAATGATATCACCAAGTGAAGTAATACTAGTATTGCCTATGTCACAAGGTAGTTATGAGAACACTCTATAAACGTAAATTATTATCTACACTAAATCAGTAAGCATTAAGCTACCCCATTTAGGCAGTTTTCTTAGAAGTGAGGATACAGTTAAAAGATGAAGCTTGAATTCTATCAGAGAGAAAACATGTACATATATATATATATATATATATATATATATATATGCAGGGTATTCCAAAAGGATTAGTGCGGTATTAAAGTATTAAAGGTTAAAGCTACACTAAAACTTTTGGGATACAGTTTATGTATTCATACTCTATGTATGTACCCTTATCTGTGCATACATATATATATATATATATTATATTATAAAAATAATTCACATTTATGTTGTGTTTTTCTCTTAATTACTTTGTGAAGTGTATTCTGAAGGATTCTGAAATTTACTTATTCAGCACTAAATGTTCTCCTAATTAGACTCAGGAAGCCCTGAGTTCAGATCCAACATCAGACACTTAATAGCTGTGTGACCCTGGGCAAGTCACATAACCTCTGTTTAGTCTATCGGAGAAGGAGGTGGCAAACCACTCCAGTGTCTTTACCAAGAAAACCCAATGGACACAATGGTCCACAGGATCATGAAGAGTCAGACATGACTATATGACTGAATAACAGGAACATCCCCCAGACTCACATCTCTGACATTGTATCTGTCTTAAATTCAGTGCGCTCTACCCACTTCTGAACTTTGATATTACTGTTGGTTTTTTATGTGTGTGTATGTAGATATATTTACACATACATACATGTGTGTATGTATGTGTGTGCGCGTGCGCACGCGTGTGTGTGTGTGTGCGCGCGTGAGAGAGAGAGAGACAGAGAGAGAGAGAGAAAGCGTGAGCACAAGTGAGAAAGTAACACTACTGGTCTGGTGGCTAAAGAGCTAGCCTTGGAATCAAGAAGAGCTAGGTTTAAGTCTTGTCTCTGCCACATACTGGGTCTGTGATTCTGGTCAAGTCCCCTTAGCTGTATGCTGTAGTGGAAGGAGCATTGAATGTGGAGTCAGGAAAAGGTGGGGTTAATACTTGCTTTAGACATTAGCTGTGTGGTCCTGGCAAGTCACTTAACCACTTAGTACCTAGTTTCCTAAATTACACAAGGATGGGATTAGATTGGTTCAGGCTGTAAGTCTGATCCTGTGTACTTAACTCCCCAGTACTTGAGGCTTTTCTCTAAAGGCAAGCATCTAAAGATAGGAAATGAAGTTTCTATCTCTCTGTCTGTCTCTCCCCTTCCCCCCATCTCTCTCTACTTTCTTCTCTCTCTCCCTCTCCCTCTCTCTCTCTCTCTCTCTCTCTCTCCTCTCTCTCTCTCTCTCTCCCTCTCCCTCTCCCTCTCCCTCTCCTCTCCCTCTCTCTCTCTCTCTCTCTCTCTCTCTCTCTCTCTCTCTCTCCCTCTCCCTCTCCCTCTCCTCTCCTCTCCCTCTCCCTCTCCCTCTCCCTCTCCCTCTCCCTCTCTCTCTCTTACACACGTGTACCAATGAAACTACAAGGCTTATTTCAGAAAGATTTTGCATGTGTGTGTGGTTGCCTTATTGACTGGGAGGGATCAGGAAAGGCTTCATGGAGAAACTGTTGCAAGAGTTGAGCTTTGAAGGAAAGTAAGGATTCTGAGAGGCAAGGGTGAGGTGGGAGGGCATTCCAGGGATGGAGAGCCTGTGCAAAGGTAGAGAGATTGGAGATAGCTGGTATGTTGTGTATGAAGAACGGGGAGAAAGTCGGTTTGGATGCGCCATAGAATTTATGGAATAGAGTAATGTGTAATAAGGCTAGAATAGTAAGTTTGATCCCAGGTTGTGAAGAGTTTTAAATGCCAAATAGAGGACTTGGTATTTGATACTAGGGGAAATGGAGATTTGCCATGGGACTTTGGTCATGGTCAGCTCTGTGTCTTAGGAATACCATTTTGGCAGTTGTGGGGATGATGGACAAGGGATCAGAGAGCTTTGAAAGAGTTAGAACAGATTGCAACAAACAGTCCAAAGGGCCTTAACTATTGAATGGGTTATGGGAATAGAGTATAAAGGACAAATTAGAGAGGTGATGTGGAATTAGATTGCACTAAACCTGACAGTTGATTGGCTCTATGAGGTAGAGTCAAAATAAGTGACAGTAAGTGTTCAGGGACAGCACCGAGTAGGATTGTGGTTCCTTGAACGATAATAAAGAAGGCTAGAAGAAAGATGGATTTGGAGAGCAACATAATGAGTTCTTTTTTGGGGACATACTGAGTTTGAGATATCTATGAGGCATTCATTTGAAATATCTAGTGTTGTCATTGCTGTTCGGTCATTTTCATTCATGTCCAACAATAGTAATATAATAATAATTTCAACCATTTCTACAGTTAAGTTGCCCTTCACTGTCCTGAATGTATACCATCTCATGGACCTTTCCATATTCACAGCTTTGCCTGTGCTACTCCTCCCCCTACTCCCTTTAGGGTATTTTCTTTCCTCTTCTCCATTTATGCAAAACTTACTCTTACTTCTAGGTGTAGATCAATTCTCACTGCATTAATTCCTTTCCACTCATTTAGGTCTATAGTCACTGATAGGCTGGAATTGCTAGGTGGCCACCTCATGAATGTGCATCTTTTCTCCTTTCAAAAGCAATTTGAATTTTTCACTCCATTTTCTCATTCTTTTACATCTGTTATGGTCTTCAGTATAACTCTTTCCTAGCCAGAAGGCAAGCTGACAAATTAAGTAATTAAAGAATCCTTTTCTCCTAAATTTTTTTTTTCTGGAGGGTGAGTATATACCTTCTATCATATATGAAATGGAATGTGATGTCTTTAAGTCAGAATGTATTAATGGTAGATTTCCTGGCTGACTTGTGAACATTTGATTTTAATTAAATTTGTTCCCTTGGGAGTATAAATAGAGTGTGTTAAGATGATGGTGGCAGTTGTAAAAATCACATTTAAGAGGTTGTGCTATTGAGCTCAGCAGAACAGATTTATTGATTTATTTAGCTGGATTGGTGTAGTGGTGGGGGAGATGAATTTCTTAAAAACGTGAGAACACTAGTATGAAGCAAGTGAACTATAAAATATGAAGTGAATATCGGAGTGAAGAGAAAATATGAAGATTTGATAATTGAAGTATGGCTTTCCCCCCCTCCATTTGTGTAAATCTTTTCCCAATTGAATTGATTAAATTTGCTGATAACTTTCTGTCTATTTGTCTATGGTAACATTGAATTTTATTTGCATTTCTTGTTGGTCTCCTATTATTGACTGTGCCCAATAAAAGAATGAAAACAAGTTTGCGTTTTCTTGTCAAATGATTTATTGGCAAAGTTAAGGATTTTTTAAAAAGTTTAAAAAAATCCTTTAAGTGTTGTTCAAATGACACCAAAATGTCATTAGATAATTGAGAAATTTAATCACAGTTTCAGATCTCAAAAAATAATGGATCTGCTCTTATTCATGTACTGTAGTTTGGATGATTAAATTCAGGTGATTGCATTTAATGCTTTCCATTTAAAACAAGTGACTTAACTGTGTTATCTACTACCCTAGTCAAAAGAAATATTCCTAATTAAATTATTTTATTATTTAAGGTACCTTTATGCAGGACCAAAGAATTTGGTCAGTCCCTATGCAGTGTTAAAGGCACTGGCTCTTGCATTTAAATATTTCCAGGTATGGGGAAAAATCTCTTCTCCAAGACAAAAGGGGCTATATCTTGAAATGATGGGTATCATTATATGTTTTATTATTTAGAGTAAGGAAGCATTATTTCCTCAGGAATTTTCTATTTCTCTTCCTGGAATCAAAGTTCATGCACCCAGTAAACACTGCAAAAGAGAGCATTTCTAGGCAATTTCTTCCCTGGCTTTGGAGAGGGGGAGGTGGTCATGCTTAGGTTCACTACATGTGCTACATGAGCTACATGAAAGATTGGGGGAGGGGTAGACTTGATGTTTCCAGGACCGAAAGCTGAAGAAGCAGTTAAACTCTGGTTAAATCCCTGCCAGACTGAAGCTTCCAGTGTCCCCAGCTCTGCATGGGGGCATCCAGCCTGTCTTCCTTTCTGGGGAGTTTGCTGAAGCTTAGGTCCTCACTGTGCCTTTGTCATCCTCCTCACGAGGTGATCCATTGAGATCTAGGTGATGACAGAACCAGTTTGTAACAGGCTTGTCTTTCCCGTTCTCCTCTCAGGCTTGCTGGCAGGCTAGCCGGCTGGAAGATCTGACAAGAGTGGCAGCAGCCAAGGAGGATCCGTGAAAGGTAGCCGACGGGCGGGAGGCTTGGCCGGCCAGGACGCAGGACCCCTGCTCTTCAGCTGCAATGGGGTGGCTGGAAGACCCCACCTGGCAGATTCACGTTCACTTTTCTTTGCTTGTCCTGCTGTCCATGCATACAAGGGGTAAGAAGATCACGCGTATTGTGTTGTAGTTAGCCCAGCTCCTGAGCTAGCATCTCACTGAAGGGCTTTTAGCTCCAAAGAGAAAGTTCAGGACACCAGTTCAGATGTGCCTAGTTTCCAGCCCCCTACTGCTCCAGCACTAATGCATTTTTACTGCTTTCTGTATTAGCAAAGAACTTTCTAAGTAACCTTTCCCAGCAGAACTTTAAAGAGATTTAGAGAAAGGAAATTTGCTGTTTCCCCTAGCAGTTAAAAAAATAAATCTGCCTTAGTGCCTTTAGTATCAAGTTGATTCCCTGTTATGTGGAAAACAATTCAATTTTATTTTGACAATTTTAGATGATACATTTTGGTCAACATAGTTTAACACTGCATTTTTTAGCGTATTCATTTTAATGGCTTCTTAATCATGTAATTTTAGTTGTTTTGACTGTAATTTACAACATTCACTGTAATTATTGAATCTTCATTCAACTTGAAGAGTAAGTTTAGCTTAGCAGTCTGTTTAGCAGAAGTGTGTTTCTGTCAAATCAACCGAAGCAAGAAAAGATTATCTTTTACTTTTAGTGAAAGAGTTATGTTATAAGAATAAGTAAGTGATTTTGCAGTTTCAAAGAAAACCAATTTGCCATGGTGCAGAAATTTGCAGTTAAGTGCATGCAAGGAAGGAGTGACGTGGGTGGAAGCAGACACAGTGGCTTTATGTAATTGAGGCCAGAAGTAAATGGGGGTCTGTAGAGCAAGACTGGAATGCGTTGACAGTACAGTTGCATGCATAGTACATACAAGTATATTTAAAGAGTCTCCTCAAGTTTACTATTTATAAGAAAAAATGTGTAGTACCAACTGCCATTTGTTTCTAACGAATTTGCAAAGTGTTTCTCAGAGCTTTTCAAAAATTAAAAAGTCAGTCTTTTCTGAGGAGGTAAACATGATTTTTCAGTTCAGTCATTATAACCTGAATAGGAAGTGCTTGGATTATTCTTTTAGTGACCAAATGAATCTTCAGTTACCTCTTAATTATCTACCAAAGGAGACCAGATATGCCCAAACAGCAAATAATTTTTAAAAATATTTTTTGTTTTGACAATCATTGTGAAATATTTCTCACATGTTTATCTTTTAAAATATTATTAAAATGAAAATAACTTTAAATTTCCTGAGCAGATGCAATCAAGATAGGGTTGGAAGCTAGGCCAAGAGTCTGCTCTTTAGTGAAGTCAAGTAAATATTTGTTGAAAACTTGGTTGTCACCAATTCCCCCCATATGCTAGAATATTGTGAACACAGAATTTACACACTTAGACAACACAAAAAAAACCCCCCCAGTGGATTGAATTTTGTCTAATGAATTCATTTCATAGGTGAAGAAACAGGCTCAAAAATGATTTCTTTAAGAATCACAAGTAGTGAAAGAACTGGGATAGGAAATCAGGCCCTTCTGATTCCAAAACCAGTATTCTTTCCCCAGGCTCCTGTTCCTCTCATATTCATTGTGGTAAATTACTTAAGTTTATTTAATGTCACATTTTGTGATCTGTCCCAATTTTAAGATATCTAGCTTTGCTATTACTACCTGGTTTTGGTAAATAGAATGTTAGTTGCTCCCTGAGAGGATTTATGGCAAAATGAATTAAGTGTTAGATTTGGGACTGAGGAAGAACTGGGTTCAGATCTCACTAAGAATCATAGATGTTGAATAAGAAGGAACCTTGGAGATCATCTAATCCAGTGCCCTCATTTCATAGATTGATAAACAGTCCAGAGCAATTGTAGTTTGCCCAAGATCACACGGGTCACAAGCAGCAGAGTCAGTCATTGAACCCAGACCCTCTGCTTCCAAGTGTGGTTATGTCTCGTGAACCTGTGGCCACACCTGGGAAAGTCATTAAACATCTTGAGCTTCAGTTTCCTCATCTATAAAATGAGCACAATAATGCCTGAGGGTACCTCCCTCAAAGGGTTTTTGTTCAAATGATTGAATGAAGTTCAGTGAATTAATGAAGTTCAAATGACTGTTTTGAAAGTGGTTTAGCACTATTTAAACATTTACAGTTATTCTGAGCTCTTTCTGTTAGGAGTTATTAGTCACAATTGATTTGAAGAGAGGGCACTGACATTATTTATTTTCTTGTTTTCTTTGAAAAATATTAATGTTGCCCTCTTAAGATGTGAGCAGGTGACTAAACAAAACATATCTTCAATGATATTTTAGAAGAGGAATTTACTTTGTAGGAAATCAGGATTAAAATATGTAAGGTATAACTGGTTCATAGGATTACAAATTTGGAGTTGGAAAGGTCTCCAGAGGTCTTCTAGTTTCACCTCTTTATTTTATAGGTCAAGGAGCCAAAGACTCAGGAAGATTATGTGACTTGAATAAGGTTACAGAGGTATTCAACCTCAGAATTAGCATTTGAACCCAGATCCTCTGATTCAATAGCCAGTGCTTTCTTTTCCTGTGACTCTGATACTGACTACCCCATGTAATGTTATCCAAGTCACATAACCTCCATGGACTTCAGTAAAGTGAGCAGGTTGGACTCGGTAGCTTTTGAGGCCTGTAGTAATAGTCTGCAAATATCGGGGAACAATTTGACGTTCTCCTTTAGCACCCTCTGTTGGTATCATTTTTTCCCCCTGAAAACACCTGCCCAACTATGTTTTTGAACTGAGCTAACAGCTCGCACATTCTCATACTTTTAGAGTACTTACAGGTTGGAAAATTAAAGGTAGAATGCTGTAGTCATTTCACATTTCAGAAAGGTATATATACACTTTCCTTTTTTTTTCTTAATTAGAGGGTTCACAGATTTAGTCTTTTGTCTAAATGGAAAACATGGACATTTTTCATAGATGAGTTTAATTCAGTTTAATGATTAGAATGACAAAACATTAATTGAACAACTGTTCAAGGTAAATGAGTAAGACAGTGTAAAATTCACTGTGATCACTCTGTGGGTGATTCTGCGGCCCTGTTTGGGTTAGAAATAATTTTTTTTTAAATACATGGAAATACTGAAATGCAGAAATGTCATAGATTGGCCACAACCATGCAACAAGTAAACAACAAACCTATATTAACAAAACAAAGCCCTGAAACTATAGATAACCCATTCAACTTAATTACACCATTTTGATGTAAAGAGCTAGGAAAACTGTGTGAAAAGAAAAACCTTTGAGAATTTGAAATAATGTCAAATTTTTAAAAGTTTGATTGAAATCTGATTCTTAAAGGTTCAATGACCTGCCCTCAGCATCCTGCCGGTAGCAGTCATGGAATTCCTTACAGCATGGAAAGGAATACTCATATCCTCTCATTGAGAGAATATGGATGAACAAGTAAATATTTCTGTTCCATTTAAATATTGAATAATAGATCAAGCAATATGGGAATGCCCTAGTTAGATCATTTTAGCCAGAGGTATCAAACTCAAAGCCAATGCCATACAGAAGTGTGTGGAGACCCAGTTTAAAATGTAATTCAGACATGTTTAACAAAATAAATAAAAATACACTACAACATAGGTGATGTTCATTTGTGGTTTTTCAAGTAAATCTATGGCTGTTGGGATTCGTTTCTATTTGAATTTGACACCATTGATTTTAGCTAACCCAGACCATATCTGGGCCATAGATCAGCTTATGATGTCAGGTCACCAGATATTTAGAGAAAAAAAAAACGTAAAGAAAATGTGGATTTAGAGGTTCTGAACTTTATTCATTTGGGTGTTAACATAACAAGATTTTTATTTCAAGTAGAGATTCAGTAACTAAGATGGGTGAGCATTGAAATTTTGCATTTCTTGGAGAAATCCGTAGTACGCCTTGAATTTTGAGGGATCACTTCTTTGCCAGTAATCACTTAGACTGGATTGAAACTTTTGAGTCAATAATGTATTGGGACAATATTTATAGCAAATATTGTAGAAAAAAACTTGTATCTAAATCATATAATTATAAAAATAAAGTTATAGTAGTCACAGTCCACAACAGATAAAAATCCAAGGATATGGACAGACAGTTACCAAAAGAAAAATACAAATTGCTAATACTCATTTGAAAAAGAAATATTAAGCTTCCCTAATCATCAAAAACTTATAAATTAAAACAATTCTGAGGTACTATCTTATGCCTACCAGATTGAGAAAAATAACTAGAAGCAATAAAACTCAGTAACGGAACATACTTGCATTCACTACTTGTGAAAATATCTACTTGTAAAGGTTTTTTTTTATGGTATTCTAAGAGTTTACATTGAAAATTGTCATGCCTTTTGACCTAATAATTCTGTTGTTGGCTTTCTATCCTGAAAATGTTGGGGGTGGGGAGGAAGCTATCTTTTAAAATATGTAATTGAAAATAAAAACTAAGTGTCCAACAGTAGAAGAATTTTGAAATAAATCATATTACACAGTTTAATAGTATATTCTTATAGAGTTATCTGCTAAATAGGATCAATACAAAGAAATAAGATCATATAATTGTGTGTGAGTATATGTATATATTTATATACACATACTTGTATATACACATGCATACGCATGTAGGGGTGTGTGTGTGTGTGTGTGTATACACACACACACACACACACACACACACATACATACACACATACATATATACACACACATATGCTGCAAGGTGAAAAAAAGCAGAGCTAGAGGAATCAATACTTTTTGACTAAAATCAGTAGGACAAGTACATGGGACTGAATGGATGAAAAAGAATTTGATTAGAAGTGACAGAAATGTGAAGACAAAGTGCTGAAGTTTGTTCTTTTAAATGTAAATAATATATTTACACTTAGTCTGTATTACAGTCACTAAGCAAGTTTTGCTATTTGTATCAATGTTCAGTGAGTTTATTTTTTTAAACTTAGAACTCAACATGTAATTGGAATCAAGCAAATTTCAGTACAATAAATGTTGACTATCTCACAAAGGAAAGGGAAAAGTATAGATAGGCATATTATTGGAAGAGAAAAATTCAACTTTAAC